ACTCAGGTAGTTTGTGGTAGTAATGTGATAAAGTCAAAAGCTTCACGGTGGGGGTTGGGGGGAGGGGGGCGTGCATTTGAAAGGCAATGAATGACATGAAAGAAATTGTGCTGAAAATATTTTAAACATGATAAAGTGGAGGAAAACAGTGAGCATAACTGTTCCCACAACAGCAGGGCAGGACATGGACTGATTAGTAAATGTCCTTCCTTGATTTGTCGTTGTGTTTATTTGTGTGTGGGAGTTTTGCTGTTCTGACAGGATAATGACGCCTTTGTCTTCCCACTGAAACGTCTTTCAAACTCCCTTTTCTTTTGAATATGAACTCAGAATCCTTTCTCCACACAGCTAATTGTTGTGCAGCAATTTAAAGACAAACAGGCATCTGCATAATGAAAACCCTTTATCCTTCTGCAGTAACACACAGTTACTTCCTATATATAATTTATACCAACACTGATGTTCATTAAGCTGTTTGTAGACTAAAGTCAGATTTCGTTCTGGTTCTTGATTTATCTGCTGTGAATTATAAAATTTAAATCACAAAGCTTTATGCTTTTTATCTGGGTCAGAGCAAACTGTAGTCCAGCCCCTGCATATTCTTTTCCGGTACATTTTCCATCTCCTTCTGTGGGATTTTGAAGTGTTCCCGGGCCAGATGGAACGTGTATTCCCTCCAGCATGTTCTGGGGGTGCTTTGCATTTGGTAATGTGATTTTTTTTTCTTCCCATCCTCAGATTTTCTTCTTTTAGTTTTAGCTCATCTCCAAGGAGAGCTAAAAGGTCTTAATATGGAAGCAGAAAAAACATGACTCACAGTGTCTCAGCAGTTAAATGTGTGTAAAATAAGGTCATGAATAACAGAAGAGAGGAAAAAATATTTTGCTCAAGTAAACACATTTGTGAAAGTAAAGAGGTTTTAGCCAAGCGTCACAAAATTTCCAACTGAACTTCTGCTGCTTATTTTTGTGATTAGTGACGAGGTTCATCACTGAGGCACCGACTCCTCTGGAATCAGATGTAGAGACAAATAAAACACAAACTAGAAGCTTATATTCCAAGTTTGATCATAATTGAAACTGCAGCACGCTTCTCCAAACAAAGATGAAACTTACTGATGATTTTTTTTAGCTTTAAAACCTTCAAAAGTTTATTTATTCATTGTAGCACTGAAATTCTCATCACCATCTTAAGAGCTAAAACACAAAGATGTAAGTAATCATTTTATAATGTTTCCATTTATTGGCTACTTTAAGTTGATGCAAAATAAACATATTAACTGGCAAAATACACATTAAAATTAAATACTTTTTACAACTAACATCTTTTGACTCTTCGGAGGCGCTGCCAGTATAAAACAATGTTGCTCCATGAAAAACAAACTCTGAACTGTTGGATCTGCTGTAAGTGAGATATTTTGAGCAGAGTTGCACAGGAAGGCGATGAACAGGCTAGTGTCAAACAATTTCTGGGTCAGGGCCCTTGAAGTACAAAATCATTCAAACAATCAAATATGTTATTATTCTCTGTGTCTCTATTAAGATGAGCTGATACTGAGAATCTGGGCAGGACTGAGCTTCAACAAATGGATGGATGGATTGTTAAGTCAGCGGGTTTTCTTATTGAGAAGATGAAGTTTAAAGATGGAAATGCCAGGCAGCTAATTACTGTTTACATTTTGACCACATAATAATCTGAGTCTGTGAGAGGATGAGTGTTAAACTGAGAGACAGTGATTAGGAAAATAAAACCACACTTTTCATCTCACATCACATTCAAATGAAGAGGTATGGAAACAGCTGCTAATTTGACTGTTTTAATTGGGTTTTAAGGGCTGTTGTGCTTTTTTGGCTATATAAAATATAGCCTATATATATATATATATATATATATAATTTTTATAATACTATTGGACTTTTTGCCTTAGTGATGCAAAATGCCTTTACCAGTGTGTCACACTTTGGATACATGGGAAGATCAATCATTTTGCAATCTAAAAGCTGTGGGTTCACTTTCAGCTTTCTTCTGCATGAAGAATCCGGAATTAATCACTCCATGGTTTTTTTACACCATCTAAAAGATGAGCTGCTGTTTTCTGGACAGTGATGATGCAGAGATGACTGATAGAACAGGACACAGAACATTTCGGTTTGGTGCGATGAGAGGAAAATGCCTGCAGGACATGTCTGAGCCTTGGATATCCACCGTTCTCTACACCCTCTTACTGTTTACGCTTCTCAGCGAAAAATAACAAGCATGTTGGCTGATAACAAGAGTACTGCAAATGCCACTTTTTTCACCTTGAACTTCCTGTTTTGTCACTTTCAGGCATGGACTCTGCAGGTCAGATGCTAAGTTATGCCCCTCTGCTGCTCAGTTCCTGTAACCTGTCCCATTTTCCATCTCTTGTGCACCACCAGGAGTTAAAGGGCCAGATGTCTCAGCTGCGGCCCCTGTTGTCGGTGGTGGAGCAGTACAGATTGGACTTGCAGATGCTGGCCACTTTGCGAATGGAGCTGCTCAACCTATCGATCATCCTGACAGCCATTCAGGAGGAGGTTGGAGCATACGACTATGAAGAACTTCAGCAACGGGTGTTACTGCTGGAGACCAGGCTGCACAGCTGCATGAACAAACTGGGTACGTGTTAAAGGGTCAGAAAGAAAATGTGTTGCTGGGGCTGACTCCCAGGGCTTGAATTTTCTAATTTGGCAGGAGAGTAATGCCAGTTAGGACGGCTATGCCTTTACTGATTGCCTGAGAATTTTGTGACATTTAATTTAAAAACACAACACAGAGTAAATGGAAAAGGAATAAAAGGATGACTATAACAAAAGATCCAAGAGGTGAACAGAATAAATAAAGGTATAAAAAAAAAATCACATTTCAGCCGTTATTACATCAGTTAAGAGTTGATTTTTTAAAAATGTCCACAAAAGGATCATCTCACAGAAAATGACCAACATGTTTAATCTTAGAGCTAACATAAATCACAGTTATGCTGAGAGGTCCTTTTATGGTACAGTATAACTTTCTCATTGCTTCAGAGAGGAAATGACAGCACCATTAAATAAAAAGAAATTAATTAACAACAAAATGTGATGTAGTCTTAAAAGATCAGTTTGACATTTGGAGATTTGTGCTCTTTCCCTTTCTTGCACTCCAGGCTGTAGAGTAAATATAGAGTTCCAGCTCACAAGAGGCCAATTTCAAGATGTTAAATTGCAAAGTCAAATTTCTTAAGTTGTATTGGATATACATCTTTTTCATAACATCTGAAGCTAACATATTTACTTTATTCTGCTAACAAAAGACACTACGTGCCTGGAAAATACATCATACTGCCCCCTTAAAGTACATCACGACCTTTGAAAGACAGTTTGTCAAGACAGAAACAAGTTATTCAGGGATTCTGTTTGGAGAAGGAAAAAAATTGGGGCAAATTTCAGATAAGAGTTTGGTGCCACTTTAAGGTTACGGTTTTGTTTAGCTTATTAACACTGCAGTACAATTATATATCAGAAGCACATATAAATTCCTCAGAAACAATATTTATTTTTGAGAAAGATTTTATAAAAAGGGTGATAAATTAACAGTTGATGACTCCTTATGAATTAATTGGGACCTTCCATTTCATTCATTTGTCTTTTTTGTAAAAAATATGATTAAAATTTTCTGGGATCTTTCAGGTTGTGGTCGCCTGACTGCAGTTAGCAACCCGATCACTGTGAAATCGTCAGGGTCTCGCTTTGGCTCCTGGATGACTGACGCCATGATTCCCAGCTCTGACAGCAGGGTAGGTGCATGAAGTCCAAAGATCAACTGTTACAAAAAAGACTGAATAATATTTAGAAACAAAAACGCAATCATTTTTAAAGAATTTAGAGATTAACTGGCATGAAGATATTTAAGGATGTAGAAAAGGAAAACATTGACCATTGTAGGGTCTCTATACTTTGGGGGTTTACTGTAGTTCAGGGAGTTGTAGATGAGCTATTTCTTGTATAAGGAAAGTAAATGCTGCATTCTTGGCACAAAGTCGAGCCTCTTTCCTGTTGTAACCAGTCCTCTTTGTGCTGGTAATTGACAGAATCCAAAGATGTGGTCATGGACAATGGGTTATATTGTTTCGAAACTCCATATTCTCATCTTTTATTTTTAAAAGTGATCAGAATTGGGATGTGATTTGATTAACATCTTGAGTTGAGTCAGGATGGGAGTCAGAGCCCAACTCAGGCAGTAATCTCAGATGTTAAAACGTTGAATCTCCTGTCCAGGTTGGTGGTCAAACACAGGAGTTCAGCTTTCTGGTGTGTTGTTTATGAGAGAAGGAGTGATGGACTGGGCCGTCGTCTGCTGAAAGGCAGGGACTACTTTGGTCTATCATGGCCAAGATGCAACTGAGATGAAAAAAAATAAATAAAAAAATAAAAAAATCACAGTTTCTGCTCTTACTGCATTTAGACTCTGTGTCCTATGGTCTTCATTAATGACCAAAAATGTGAGGTTTCAGATATGATTGTAAATTTTCCTGCCAGAAAGTATACAGTTGTAACTAGATATTTACATACACTTAACAAAGACACAGATGCATTATTCTGTTTTCCAACTTTAAATCAGAATAAATATTTTATTTTTTCAAGCAGTTAGGATGAGCAAAAATATTTACTTGTTAAACTCTAGAAAAATGACAACTAATTTTTTATGACGTTTAGGTAAAGATCAGTCTGCCTTTAAACAGTTTGGGAATGCCTAGATAATTATGCCATGCTATGTAAGGCTTCTGGTCGGTTAATTCATACCATTTAAAAGCAACTAAACAATTAATTAAATGTTTTTATGTTTGAATATAAGAATTAGACCTTAAAAAAGTTATACAAAATGTTCTCTTGTTACTCTGAAGACTAGCGAACAGACAGTTTTTCAATATATAATTTCTATCTAACCTTAAACTACAAAACTTTTGTCAGATTTAATGTCAGACAATGAGGAGAAAATGTTGTAGCTTTTCATACATTATATGTAAATATCTGGTTTCAGCTGTATATCCCTTCTTGCTAAGAGTTGGATTGTGAGCTGGATGTCTGGGTTCCCTTTATGCTCTTGAAGTTTTTATGGACACAAAGTTACTGTAGGCACGGTCAAAAGAAAAGGAAATCTTAGATGCTTTTTCTCAAGCCATATAAAAAATAAATAAAGTAATAAAAATGGATGCCCTTGATAAAGTATTTTTAGGTCTGGTTTAGAAGTCTGTAGAAGCTGTCATCATAGTAAATGACGATGTCCACGGCCACATGGTTGGAAAGCTCGACATTCTTCTTAATGTATTTTCTCTGTCTTATTTCCAACATGACTTTGTTGTGCACTTTGTTTTCACTCTTTACAAGCTTCATTCGCTTCTACCGTATGCACACACAGACACAACAAAACAGTCTGCTCAGGCAGCACATATTTAGCTAGTTGTCAAGGCGACTGTCTCCCAGTTGCCAGGTGTGATTTATATTGCCACGCTGACCCGTGCTGTGTGAGCTTTCCCTGTAATGGGAGGGAACCATGCAAAGCATCAGTATTCCAGTTGCATGACCCGTTTAGCTCCAGTTCACTGGTGTAAGGTCCTTCACATTTCTGATGTCTGTTTGGATCTTCTTTCCTCATCTTCCATCTTGATGGTTATTGATGTATAATGTATGTTCTCCATTCAGAGTGTGGCATTCTGGAAACAAAACAAGTAGAGCTTATAAAAATGCAGGATTTGCTGCTTGTATGTGTTCTATATATAACACAATGAAAATATAAAAAGATCTCAACTTCTGCTGACAGATTTTTTCTATCTTTAAGACTGTTTTTGTGTTGATGGCTATGTGTTGATGGCACGGTACAGTATGATGATTAAGAAACCAGATTTAATTCATTAGGATTTTTTAAATTCATTTCATTTTATCTATGAAATCACAATAAATGTCCTCTTGAGGCACTTTAGAAAAAAAACATTTGAATCAATCACAGTTATCAAGTCCTAGTTAATTATTCAAATTAGTTTAGAAAGTTTTTATCCAAGGAAACCCAGCAGATTGCATCCAGTCAATGACTGTGTATTTTTCAAACAGCAACACCATAATTATGTGACAGATAAAGCATGAAATAATCCATAGAATGATCTAAATTTCACAATTGAGTATGAATATGCATGCTTCAAGACCATGGATTGTTGAAGAGTTTTGTTGGTGAGGCGTCCTGGTCATTGCCTTTCTACACAACTCAACTCCCTTCACTGCTCAGTCTGGGCTTTCTCCTATTGAGCTGGATTTCTCCAGTAGATTTTCTACCAGCCAATCAGAGAACAGAAGCTTTATTAATTTTGACTGAATTAGAAATCAATATCCTTTTTTGAAAGTCAATCTATTTAACAGTTGCCACATAGACGGATGATTTAATAATTTGGAATGGCAAAATAGTGGACTACCATGCAGCACTTTCTAAGCTGCACATTTACAAAAATCACATCACCTGCATTTTCTGTGCTCTCAGAAAATCAAAACTAATAGAAATATAATGTAAATGTTCTTAGTGGCTTGTGATAAACATAATGCAGCTTTTATAACAGTTGTCATCAAGTTGAGAAAGCTGTTACAAGTTATACTGTACCTGGACAGCAGTCTTATAGCTGCATTTTCTCTTCCAAATATTTTATTATTGTTTTCAAAGCATTTGCATATCTGAAGTGTTAGGACTCCTTTTAGCTTTGCCAACCCACTGTCTGCACACACTTGCATTCACACATGCACAATGTGAGTCAAAATGAGTAAATGTCTATTTCACAGACTCTTTGGTATCCTTGACTACAGTGTCAGCACAGGGTCCCAGCTTGACATTTATGAAATCTTTATTAGGTCTTTAAAGTATGAATGCATATGTGTGTGTTTGCATGATTTACTCTCACTCTCTGAGGCAGGCCAACATCTGTCGCAGTATTTGAGAACATCTTCTAAAGTGTGGACATTTCGTGATCTGTCAAGGTTTCTGTTGATGGGAGCAGAGATGAAGGAAGAGAGCAAACACACTGGAGAGGAGAGGTGGCCTGGCTGCAGCCTTCCAGCACAGTCTGGGTTTTCTCCCCTTCACTCGGATTGTCTCCAGTTGATTTTCTAAAGGGCCAATCAGCAAACAGAATGAGAAGTTTGAACATTGATTTATTGCTCTGTTTTAGAATTGTAGATTGTCTGTAGTTTTAGCAAAGGCAGTGGAGAGAGTGAACGTAGACAAATAATGAATTGCTTCCAAATATTGAATTGCCTGCCAGTGGAAAAGCACCTTTGCTGGAAGAGAGGAAAACATTCAATAAAAGATTAATATGAAAACTAATGAGGTCAAAGATGATTAGGAGAAAGGTCATTATGACTTAATGATTTAAATCATTTGGGCCTGCTGAGATTTTCAGGTTTCTATTTAATTAAAATTGTATTTCATCTGTAGATACATGATTAATGTACAGCTGTTTACATGTATATATTTTTTAGATATTTTTATATTCAGTGGGGTATGTTTTCTTATTGAACTGCTGTAACAAGTGAATTTCCCCACTGTGATTAATAAAGGTTTATTCTACTCTATATTGAAGAAAATGATGGACATTTACAGATGGTATTTATTTTGTTTGATTCTTTTGAGATTGCTTTTTTTTACATTTTCCATCTGGTAACCTTAAATATCAAAAAGATTGAAGGCTGAGAGGTAAGGTGGGCAGTAAATACCAACTGTCACTGATATAGTGATTTTAATATATACTGTATCTTAGATGAAACGGACAATCTGGATACAACATTTGGTAAAAAGGTATATTTACGGTCCCCTACATTTATGCTCTGCATGCGAGAAGATATTTTGCCATCTGCTTGAAGTTTCACAGCTGTTCAGGCTAATCCTACAGGTTTAGGTGACTAAGATACTAGTTGACTTGATTACTGCAACAGTGTCTTCACAGGTCTGCCCAAAAACTAAGTCAGACTAGGTTTCCTTAAACCGATAGGTTTTTACTAGTCCACACTGTAAACAGAGTTCGAGTTCATTACCTTACAATGAAACTGTTACGTATGTAACTGAATCTGAAACTGTCTTTGTGATTGTGACTGTCTTTGTGAAGGATTGATGTAGTAGTAATTTTCTGACATACATTAGATCATACAAGTTGTCTTAGCATAATTATATTTCTTGTGAATTGGAACTATTGACTATTTGCAACTATGTAACTTAATCATTGATGGATGTTGGAAGTGAGGGACAGGCGTATTGGACAGATTGAAACTGTTCTCCCAAGTTGTTTATGCCACTTTACCCATGGTTGATGCCACTGTATCGTTTCTTTGACTTGTTCGAGTCAAGCTGGTTGTACCTGGTTGTGGCTCATATTTACAAAAGTTTGAAATAATTAGGTTAGAAAACCTCCATCATGATGTGTTGATCAAACTGCCAACTTTGCCTGAATTCAGACCACATCATTTATATCACTATGTCATAAAAAACATACAAAGGACCAGATGCTAACCAGTTTTTTCCATACATGTTAGGCTACGTGACAGTGCGGCATTGTCTCCATAGTTACTAATGGTTAGAAGAGTATCAACCTCATAATGCAATGTTTGGTATGTTTCTAATCATATTTACTAAAAAAGCATATGAATGTTAATCTTCTTACTTAACATCCTTGTGATTGACAGCTGCTGTCCGTCGCCACCGGATCTTTCATCACTACAACTAAATAAAATGACAAGTTTGGTTTGCATTCTTGCCTGTTTGCACAACTCTATGGCCATTTTTAAAGTTAAATCAAGTAAATAAAAGTGATATTCAGCTACAGATGTCTGCTTTTTGATAGGAGCTCATTGGTTGCTTTGTGGTCTGTCATGGCAGAGTTGTCAGAGTTCTGAAGAGTGTGATATGTGCAAGAGGTCAATATAATATAGAGAGCAGTGTTGTACTGAATTCTGGTGTCCATTTAAAACACAAAGCCTGTGTTGCATCACATACACACCAAAAACTAGACTATCCATTAAATATGTCTGCATGTCTGTCACTGTGCCTACACCCACAACCCTTTGCTATCAGCCTTCAGAAGCCTTCTTTTCAAGTTCAGCAATCTCTGCACCGATGATTTTTTTGTTTTTTCTACAAGAGAATGCTGTTCAGTGAGTGTCAAAATCACCTTCTGCAGCCAAGAATATCCATTATGTTGTACTGGGGGACAGAGTAGTGGAATTTAGACTTTAATACCTTTATATCCCAATTTTCTACACCTGAATTGAATTGATGATTGCTGACAAGACTCCTGCCGAACTTGATGAAAGCTGTTGAGGTAATGGATTTATTTCAAACATGTTTATTGCATCTGCTAGTTTAATTTTCTCACATATCTGGTGTGAATTGTGTAGCATGCATACTGATATGCCTGGTGTTACACTCCACAAATTTATAGTGCCTGTTTTGAATGCAGAAAAAGATGCAACCCAGAAGAGAATCTGTCTTTCAAATAGTCTCTTTGGCAATCCAATTAAAGAGATACACACCAACGTGTAAAATTCCAGTAACACTACCAAATTTAAACAACAATGAAAGGAGCTGCTATGTTGAACCAAATTAGAAACTGAATTTTAAAATATTTATGTTTTTCACAAACAGATGTCTTTCGCAGGCAGTTTGTTTATCCACAAACTGCCTAAAACCTGCAGAGAGAAACATCAGACAGCGCTCTTCTGCAGTAGTACCTTGGTACTCCTGTCATCCCATTTATGTTCAGACTGGAAGACCGAACACAGAGCGATAGAAGAACTTACTGGATCACCCGACCAGTCATTCTTTGTTTCATTTATGAAGCTAAAGGTAGCAGCAGGAAAACACCAGCTCCTACAGCCAACTCAGTCCTCTTCCTCCATTTGGTCCTCTTCATCTTCATTACCTCTTGTCATTTCTCCATTCTAACCAATTTCAATCCACCTCAGTTCAATCTGAAAAGGCTTAATGGCATTACTCATCATTGTTTAGACATTATTTACCCAGGATGCATTGCAGCGTGAACAACATGGTGACATGGTGCGACAATGTTTTATTAAAATGTATAAACTAAACGGCCTACAATAATACTGTATTGTTTTAATGTAAAATAAACATTTCTTCAAGTCTATTGTTACAACTAATCAAGTATCCTTTTAAGAAGACGTGCTGGACTATTTCAACATGTGAATAATGTATTCACAACTAACTTTCCTATTCTCAAACTTAACTTTTTAAGTTGTTTGTATGAAATTAAATTGTGCATTCACATATGAGATGATTACAGGAAACAAAGAGTTTTCCTTCCTTTGAATTTTTGTTCAAAATGAAATTCAAAAGGAGGGAGGCATCAGATTGCTGACAGCAGAATAAAAGAAGGCAGTCAGTTCTTCTCATTGTCTTTCCAAAGTGAATTTCAATTAGAATGTGAAATATTCAACCCCCCCGCCTCCCCCCAAAATAAATCCGTATAATCATTTATCACTGTCCTTGTCTTAAAGTCCCTGATTCAACTTGAATGTTGAAAACTGTAAATCAAAATAATAAAATTTCTCAGCATGTTTTGTGAAAGCTCTGCAGAAGAGAATTTATTTCTCATAAAATTTAGCTCATTCAATCTTTTCTGTTCTCAGAACTTTTCTCATTTTGTAATTGTAATAATGAGCATCTGTTTCACCTACAATGGTTTCTTCTCTCAATGCTCTTTATTTCTATCGCTCTGTGTTCGGTCTCCTCTCCTTCATCTGTTTCACCTCTGATTCTTCTCTGGTTAATTCATTTTCCACACTGTGGAAGGTTATTTTTTCTTCCATTTGTTGCCTCTTCACACTCCTCTCCTATCATTATTTTCTTCTTATGAATATCTTTACTCCATTTTTGATTGCATTCAGATTATTTGGTTTTACTTTCCAACCGACCGTAACATGAATTTTGGTCAACCTAATTAGAGAAATTAGATGAGATGAAAGCCAATCTTATCTACTTGGATATGGGAGAATTTATTTGTCACATATGTTCATCCTTCTCATAAGCTGTTACATTTATCTCTTTAAAACCACAAACCTTTTTGACCAGTATTTTATGTGATGCACCAACCATCAGATACATTTTTTCAATTGATTTTTATTTTTTTGAGATTTTTGTTGTTGTTGTTGATGGATTAAGATGAAAATTTTGAGGAAGAAGGGATCTAGATGTTTCACCAAGATTGTGTACTGCTGGAAAATTTAAACTTTACTACAATCTCAAATGGTTTGCAGTCTCTAAAATGTCACATCACCAAAAGTCAAAGTTATGTGGTGCCTGATGACTAATAGAGATCTTGATCTTTATACTGAGATTAAATTACATATAGGCTGTCTATTACAAATAAATTCCACTGTATTTTGCTGGGGGGTGTTATATTAAGTGGGGTAGAATGACAGTACACCCCATTAATTTCTGATTTTTATTTGTGAAAACATTCACCACCACATGTCCTTTTGCTCAAACTTTAATTTATGCACTTCTTTGATCGACATAGATTTAATGTCTGTTGCATAAAATCCTGATCAAATCCATTGAAGTTTGTGGCTGTAATGTGACAAAATGAGAACAAACAGACACATTTGTAAGTCGCTGTCTACATTCTGAGGCGTCAACAAGACAAGCTTTATTCGGAAGTTGTAATAATGTATTTTCTTATTAATCATATCACTGTGGTACACTGGACCAGGAGCAGCAAAAGATTGTTTAAGGGTCCCCATTAGTTTCAGACCATCATGGAAAATAAATGGCAATTACTTACCAGACAGAAACAAACACAAGCAGATATCTCATTTATCACAGATGACCTCCAGCTTACTGACTTGTAATGATGGCCCATTTTGAAGGAACACATCTTTCATAGTGGCAACTTTGTGGTGTTATGTTCTTTTTTTTATTTATTTCAACTGGCTGCGGCCCAAAGAAATTGTGAAAATGTATTTCTGAAATGAAACTTTTAAAACATAGAAATTGTGTTGGCTAATGATGCCGTTAATGCTGAAGGCAGTGCTTGCCGGTTTTAGTACTCAGGGAAAAAAAGCTATTGCTGGAATCCTATTATATTTTGTGCATTATCTAAAAGCATCTGAATACGCAGAGGCTGACTTTCCAAGCAGGGTGGGGAGCCTGCTGACTTTTAATAGACATAACCTGTCCTAATTGTTAGGTGGAGTCAACATTGCATTACATTTGATTATAATATTACCACAGTTTGCCCTTATTTTACTTGCTAATTATGTAGTGACCAACAGAGGGAGAGTATTAGGAGTTACACAGTGGGATCACTGCTGGTAAGCAGCAGTGACAATGATGGATTACTATAAATTAAACTAATATATTTGCTCATTTGGGGGTAATTTATTTTACAAGCTAAATAACAATTGAACTGTAAAATCGGTGTTTTCATGCCCACCTTAAGAATAAAGCTTGACATAGTTAACTTTTGTGTAAACAAGGAAAATTAAAAGCTTGGAGAATCTGAAAGTGGAAACCAATAACTGAGTGGATTGAAAGTAAGTTACAAGAATTAGACAAAGATCTGAGATGAAAAACTGTATATACACTGGAAATAATTAATAATAATTACAAGAAAGTCTGCAATTGTGATAACATAGACCCAAAGTGGAAGGTGGTGAAATATGATAAACAAAACTCAGAACAAATAAAATGAACAAGACAAAATGACAAATTTGTAATACACACACAAAAACTTAAAAATATGACTATCTAATTCCCTCTTTTCTCTTCACCAGGTGTGGTCAATGGATGGCTACTATAAAGGCAGGCGTGTGCTAGAGTACAGGACCATGGGAGACTTTACGAAAGGCCAGAACTTTGTCCAGCACCTGTTGCCCCATCCCTGGGCAGGAACTGGCCATGTGGTCTACAACGGCTCACTCTATTACAACAAGCACCAGAGCAACATCCTGGTATGAGCCTGTGGATGACTGAAGATGTGACCAGCTAAATATGACAATTTTATTGTTTATTGTTCAAATTTCCTATCATGATCCCTGTTTTTAAGCGGCACTTCTAGTGACCATCATGGGTACAAATTGATAAAAAGTTACATTTCACTTTGCCTGAGAGACACATTTTCTACTTTCAAGCTGCATGAAATTCCATCTTGTTAACCTTCTGGATGGGCTGCGTAGTAAAGCAGCTGACAGCACTGTTGCAAGGAGATCCTGGGTTCAAATCCCAGCCTGGAGTTTCCATGTTCTCTCTGTGTTTGGTTCTCTCCAGGTACTATGGGATCTGTGTGTGTGCATGATTGTTTGTCCTGGTCTGTGTTGTCCAACGTGTACCTCGCCTCTTGCTGGAGACAGGCACCAGCACTCCTAACCACTCGACCAGGGATAAGTGTGAAGGATGATGAATGGATGGGTGGATGGATGATAAGATTCTGGGCCTGATGTATTAAAATTTAGTAGCTCTTGCTTCACTGAAATGAAATAAACCGTGACTTTAATTCACAAAGCCCTTACAAACAGAAATTAAAGCACATTGTTCTTTTCTTTTTTCTAAAGATTTGGTACATATTTTTACAGAATACAATATATAATACATCCAATACCTGTTTGACCTGATACAAATCTATTTAGTTAGAATATAAAACACAAAAAATATGTGCATATGTTAAACTAATATTTGACAGAAGCACTTTTGGATTCAATTGTAGAATTCAGTTGTTTTTTTTACTCGACCTGCCAGCATTTACTCTGACTGACCTCAACTCACCAAAATAACAGGATTTTCCTTATTAATGTCTGTCTATTACAACAGTTTGCAGAATGTTAGAAATTATGGAATTGATCTAACTGTCAGAAGTATTAAACAAGAGAAGTACACAAACAATTCCTCAGAATTATTCACATACCATGGACAGCTCACTACTCAGCTCCTCCAGACTAGTGGCAGCAGCAGTTAGCAAACACCTGGTATCTGCTGAGCTTATACAAACTACTTTTCAGTGCAACATTTCAAAGAAAGGTTATAAACAGGGTGATGGAAACGCATAGTTGTGATGTCGTACTCAACACTGATTGGCCGAAAGAGTAGGAGTTTCTTAAAGATACAGATGCCAATTTCAAGATGTGTTTATTATTTACCTTATTTACCTTTTCCCCCCAATTTGCTTGTTCAAGGAATTTAAAATAATGCAGGAAAATGTTGACAATGCTGTTACTCATTCAGTGAGGACACAGATTTATTATCTTGGAGATGCTTTAACAAATTAGATTAAAAGTCTAATTACCAGCTGCCACAGTCTCTGTTGGGAACACTGCAACATGCTGAGTACTTATTTTGACCAAGTCCACATGCCACTGAATGTAATGGACTGTGACCAGGTTGCTCATAAGCCATGATTCTGAAAAAAATATTCTGTGTTTCTAGGTTCAGTACCATTTCCGTTCTCGCAGTGTGTTGCTGCAGCGCAGTCTGAGTGGGGCTGGATACAACAACACCTTCCCTTACAGCTGGGGAGGATCATCTGACATCGACCTGATGGCTGATGAGACGGGACTGTGGGCTGTCTACACCTCCATCCCAAATGCAGGAAACATAATGGTAGTTTTCAAAGTGTTCTAAAATCTGCAGTTTTCTACACCTTCTTAAAGCCACTCCAAACACATCAGTGAAAATAGACAATATTATACAAGAAGCAGCAAATTAAAAGTTTTGCTTTGGAGATGACGGGGATGAGTTTGTCTGCATGTGCGACAAAACCTTGGAAGTGATGGATGGGCTTCAATATAACACTGACAGCTTGACAGGAAGAAAAATGTCCTAGAGTCCACAAAATGATAAAAGACCACAATTCTCACAACAAAGGATAGTCAAAATACCTAACATGTTTTCAATTTAAAGTTTGAAAAAGCAGAATTAAAGTTTTTACTTTAAGATTAGTGCTTTCCCTTTAACACATGATGCAAAGCTCTGGAAGTGCAATGAGACCTTGGTGTGTGATGTCTCGGTAATAAAACTCCACAATATTTCTTCAGAAAATAAAGTATTTCTTGTAAAACAATATCCAGTCACTATTTTTATCTAAGCTGTTATTATGTGTCCCAGGTGTCAAGGTTAGTGCTTTAACTATGAGACTCCATAGTTAAGCTCAGGACTCGTATTTTGAAGGGAAACAGGAAGAACCTTTTGATTCAGTTTCGATTGGTGAAAAAACAGAGTGTTTATACTGCAAATAAAGTTCTACAGTTTTAAAGTTCTGGTTTCATTTTTGTCCGTTGTGCGATCAGACAAACTCTTTCCAAATGAAGCTCCTGGGCCCTTGGCTAGATGGTTACACCCCTATGAAACACACTTTTGAGCTTCTAAACCACAAAACAGGCTATACATGCAAAACAACTACTGCCAACACCCCTGACACTTATTTTTATAGACACTATGATCATATACAAAAGTAATGTTAAAAGGGCAATCTTGTGTAAAATCAGCATTATAAAACATGTAAAACCATCAGGGCCTCATTTCAATGGTCATACTGCAAATATAAATGTTACCATTTAAATGGTACCCTGAAGGTTTCACATACCTTGGCATGAATATTAGGTCATCATCTGACCAGATCTACCAAAAGAATTACACATCATTAGTTAATAAATCTAAAGCAGAGCTGGAGCATTGGATGGATTCCCCTTTCTTTAATTGGTGGAGTTAACACACTTAAAATAACTATTTTACCTAAGTGTATTTACTTATTTCATTGTATTCACTCAAAAGTTAAAATGACAATATTTTTTTAAGATTGGATAAAGCAATATATCTCTGTTGTTATGGCAAAAAGTTTCCAAGAATTAAACTTCTTACTTTACAGGCTCCCTATGCTAAAGGTGGTTAAATCTTCCAAATTTCAGAATATATTGTTTAGCTTCCCAGTTTGGCGCTCTGTGGATGTGGATTTATTCAAAAGGCAACGATGTGAGGTGGATCTCAATAGAGTAGAAAGAATTAAAATCCACACCATTAGCAATTATCCCCTGTTTGAGTTCAAAGAAACAGCTTCCTACAATTACATCAAACCCTTTAAATTTAGCTACCTACATTGCATGGCATCAGTTACATTTTAGATTTATACAATTGCTGGTTGACACACCACTCAAAGACAACCCCAACACCTATACCAGATGGTATGTTACAAACTTGGGTCAGAAAAGGCTTCAGAACAGTTGATGATCTTTATACCAACTATATCTTTGCCAGTTTCAGTCAACTATCGGAATTTTAAGATTTGCATAGTCATAATCTCTTTAAGTATTTACAGATCAGACACTGGATCAATAACCAACCATTAGAGAGATTCTCTTATAGGCCAGAGGAAACTGCTTGAAACATGTGTGCTAGATCTCAAACGTACTACTACAAAAGGACTTGTTTCTTGTGTTTATAAATTGTCATTGATTATTCACCAGCTCAAGAGAGGTACTCAAAAAGATCAAAATGGGATTCAGATGTAAGCTGCATACATGGAGTTGATGGCTAAATTCATCTCAGACAGAGCTGATATCAACTAAGCTTAGACAAATTCAATTGAATATTTTCCACCACATTTATTATGCACCATATAGGTTGAGTAAACTGAATGTTGGTATCACTGATGCCAGAGATGTAAGTCGTCTGTTGCTTTGGAGATGTGTACAGCTGCAAACCTACTGGAATAATGTAATTCTGATAACATCAGAAGATTGTGGACTTTCTGTGGATGTCGATTGTAGGATTTGGATACTTTGGGATGTTGCACCCCTGAAATTATTTCCTTGAAAGACATACTTTGTCTTGCTGGCATTGGCAAGACAACTGTTGTTGTACTGCACTCCTGAAAAAATTCTCCATTCAGTAGGGGGACATTCATAGTTTGACCGGATCTGGACTCCCTTCCTGGACATTCTAACTAGATTTGACCTGAGGGACTGATCTGTGTCAATCTTTTCTGTCTCGTTTCAATTCTTATAACAATTTTGTTTCTATTACTACTTTTCTCTTATTTTTGGTTTTCAAAAATATGCCATGTAATGCTAAATTTAATTTTTACTGTGTGTGTTGCTGCATAGAGAGAGTGAGTTGGTTTTATTTTTGTAGCTTGTTTTTCAATCAAAAATAGAATACACTATTGTACACCAAATGTAAATTTTAATTGGTTGTGCATTCTCAATAAATATAGCTATAAAAACTACTTTAATTCCACATTGTCATTCTTAGTTTTGTGCTTTTTACTGAGGACAATCATGGATGCAGATGAAAGACTTTGCTTTAAACTTAAATGTTGATGTTTCTTAAAGGGTAAATATTACCATAGCAACTAAGCACTTCCATCTCTTTTGATGGTTTGTCTTAAACAGTTGAGCTGGCATGACTAAGTCTTTCCATTTCTGTCTTCAGGTTAGTCGCCTGGACCCTCGTTCCCTGGAAATCCTCCAAAGCTGGGACACAGGCTTCCCAAAGCGCAGTGCTGGGGAGGCCTTCATGATCTGTGGCACCCTGTATGTCACCAACTCTCACCTGGCTGGTGCCAAAGTCCACTTTGCCTACAACACCAACACCTCATCATACGAATATACTGACATCCCTTTTCATAACCAGTACTCCCACATCAGCATGATGGACTACAACCCCAGAGAAAGGGCACTGTACACCTGGAACAATGGGCACCAGGTGCTCTACAATGTTACCTTGTTCCATGTCATCCAGAGCGATGGCTAATATGACTCAATAGAAAATGATAAAAATGTATTTGATACTGCAAGTTAAAACACGCACAGACACAGACTTTGGTCTTTCACATTGTGTTTAAATCTGAATGACCTACAGACACAGTATGTTATGGGACCACTTCCCTGAAGGCCACAGATGAGTTTTCATCACAGCACTAATGCTGGAAAGAGATTTGGCAGTTTTTAGCTCTGTCTTATTTCATTCTATTTTATTCCATTTATATATCATGAGGGAATAAGATGGAGTGGAGGGTTGGGGGGGAGTAAAACATAAATACAGACAGAAAACAGGATTTTACGTCACTTTAGCATCAAGTTTTGACAATGAGCCTGTTGGAGATATTCGGGACTTGTAATGTAATTTGTGGACATGTTTAGTCAGCATGGTTGTTCAATCAATAAACTTTACTGTTAAATCTTGCTATCATTTCTTTGTTATCTTTGCCATGGATCAGGAAGAGTTAGGATTCAACACGACATAACTGAGATATTTAGGTCTTTCTCGAAGCCACAATGAAAAACTAAGCTGTGTGCAATGAAAGGAGCTGTTTTAACCAAACAGATGGAAAAAGCAGTAAAGATTTTTTGGAGGACTGAAAGCCTAAAAAAACCATTGGATTTATTAATTGTACACAGCCAAGCGTTCCTGCTTTAAGAATTTATTAATGTGCTCAAATTACATCTGGCCTGTTTTTCATCTCTTTTAAAAGAAATAATTCCCCGAAATACGGAAAAGTGTCATAATTAAGTTTAGAGGTTTCCTTATGAAAACTACATTTAAGCAGTTATTAATTAGTGAGAGTTCTAGGATTCCAAAACCGCAAGTGTTGTACTGGCAGATAATTCTGCTTAATAAGAAGTTTTGTTGTAGAAATACGATTTATTTAATAATTGTTATTGTAGAAGTCTCTTTTTTTTTGCAGTGTGTGTGCCTGTCAGTTATT